GCTGCCTAGGAATCAAGGAGGCCTTGGAATCCGTAACCTCTTATTGACTAATGAATGTTTGCTCCTCAAGTGGTGGTGGAGATATGCTTTGGAAGATGAGGCCATATGGAAATCAGTGATCTGTGCCAAGTATGGTGTATCCGGAGGTGGCTGGTATCCTTCATTGAATGGAGTTGGCTCTGCTTCTGTTATCTGGAGAGACATTCTGGCGTTGGTACATGCTAATCCTAGGCTATATAACTTGTTTGTTGAGAATGTAGAGCTCAAGATTGGTGATGGAAATAGGGTGAAATTCTGGGATGATATCTGGAGGGGATCTATAAGCCTCAAATCTCAATTCCCTAGGCTGTATCAACTGTCTGTAGACAAAGAGATCACTGTGAAGTTGCAGATCGCTTGTCGGGAGAGCAGTAACAATTGGTGCTTCAACTTTCGAAGATCCCTCCTGGGCTGGGAGGCGGATGAGGTGATTCGGTTGCAAAATATGCTGGGATCGGGGCCTTGCCTGCACAATGGCCAGAAGGACTCCATTAGTTGGAAGGCTCACCGCTCAGGAGTGTTTAAAGTTGGAGATGTCTACGATTGGTATGTGCAAAGTCTTAGCCGTGCGCATAGTGTAACAGATTTAGTGTGGAAGAATTTTGCACCTCCAAAGGCCCAATTCATCACTTGGCTTGCTTGGAAGGGTAGGCTGAAAACCTCTTCATTTCTTAACAGAATAGGAGTCCTAACAGGGTCTGAATGTGTGCTGTGCAAAGCTGAGGAGGAAACTGCTAGCCATCTCCTGCTGTTCTGTCCCTTTTCGTGGAATGTTTGGTCTAAAATCATGGTATGGTGGGGAATTCAGTGGGTAATTCCAGGCTCGGTTGAGGAGCTGATGCATTGGTGGTTGGGGTGGAAATTTAGGAAAAAGGCAAAGCAAGTCTGGAGAGCTATCTTCATCTCTGTGATTTGGTCTTTATGGAGATACAGAAATGACTGCACGTTTAACAATACCCAACCTGATATTGAGGAGTTGTGTGAGGTAATAAAGGTAAGAGTGGCCATATGGGTAAAGTACTGTGGGATGGGATGTGCATACTCTATTCATGAGATTATTGCAAATATCAAATGGGTGAGCCAACATAGTTAAGGGTGATAGTTTGTATAGCATTGGCTTGCTGTTGGGGGAGTTGCTGAAAAAATGTATTGAAAATGTATAGAAAAATTATAAAGTGTTTTAAATTTTTTAAAAAATATATTAAATTTAGTCGTAAATATTTTGATATTTACATTTTTTCTGGTTTTTCTTATATCTAAGAGCCCTTGTTAGTAACACCGTACTTTAGTGCATACATATAATGCAAGACACAGAACCCAAAGACAAAGTAAACTATAAATACTATAAATTTCCTAAAATAGTTTATTTGTGTGTGTGACTTGTGTCTACATGATATGGGAAAGGAGAAAAAACTAAAGTTTTAGCACGAAGGATTGATCTTTAGAGTTCATCTTTTCCATAGAGCATAATATGTAGTTTTTTTTTTTGTCCACAAAATCTAATTACAAAATTAAACATAATTATCTTATATGAGATGAGATCTACATATTTAATAAGTCTCATTTCATGTGAAAAACTTGTATCCAATTTTGTGATATAATTATGTGCATTTTGCATTTTTATATGCTGTCTCCATATTAATTTCTTTTTCTTCATAATGTTTAAGACAAATTACATCAGCAGTCCTTATATTTTCTCTTGTATTATTTTTGTTCCTATATTTTCAATTGGTTCAATTTTAACCCGTGCTTTCAAATTTCATGTCAATTGGTCCAAATGATAATACTATTAGTGTTTTTGACGAAAAATTAACATTAAATTGATTAAGACTAACTCACTGAGTAAAGCAAACTTATAATTTTACCTTTAAAATCATAATACATATTATTTATATAAGTATTTTTATTATAAAAAAAAATGCTGACAATTGTATTTGATTATATTACATTGAGATAAAATAATAAATTTAAAATTAAAATCAAGTTAAAGGAACACAGTTCCGAAGAGGGAGACGAGGAGCATGACTCTAATAGAGTTGGTAAGCCATTACAGAACCTCAGAAACGAGTCAACTCAACCCAGAGAAGGTGGGTCAGCTCAGGATTCTAAGCAATTCAAAATTGAGGCCAGACGATTGTTGACACGTGGGGATGACAGTATAATAGGGGCAAAATGGAAGAGTGATACGGTAGTGGCTGAGTCTAGCAGCTTAGTAGGTAAGGAGCTCGAGGTTGAAGTATGTAAGGAACTGGTGGCAGGTAGCAGTGCATTTAATGCCTCAAAACCAGCTGATCAAGGTAATGATGGGCAAGTCTTCACACCTGGATGTATGAGAAGCTTGAGTGGATCTGGTCTAAATTTACCTGGGCTGAATTTGGAAGTGGACTTGGGCCTTAATAAATTAAATCACGAGCTGTGTGGATTGACTGAAGATGGGAAGGTAGCTCCTACTGATATTGACAGCCCAGTGGAGAAAATGGGTGGCTCTGATGATGAGATTAGTAGTAGTGAAGATGAAGGAGAAGTGGCCCAATTTAATGCAGCTGATTGGGCCAATAATATTAAGACCCAAGGGAAGGTAATTAGTAGGCCAAGATCAGAGAAAGAGATGTCCAACACTGCTGGAACTTTAGGCAGATTCTGGAAAAAAAGAGGAAAATCGGGGGTTCCCTTCAGAAACGGTTTTCAACGAGGTGCGCTGGTTCGAGATGCAATAATGGCTACTTCGTCTTCTTTATCCATAAGCAATGAAGTATGTAAGCAGAAGAAAGTCAGAAAATAGGCTGAAGCCACGGTGCAGATGGGAATTAAGCTGGGTCTGACGTTGGTTGGGTATGAAGATGAAGTTGTGGAACGAATTATGCAGATGGAAAATGAGGACATGGATAAAGTGAAAGGGCAAGGGGGTAAGCCACGTGCTTAGTCCTTAGCACTTGTTCAGGGGCTACCTTGGTGGAGCATTATGTTGTCATGAAGATTCTTTCTTGGAATGTTCGAGGTTTGGGTAATGCAGGGAAACGATCAAGGATTAAAGAATTGCTGAGAATGAAAAGGGTAGATATGGTCTTACTTCAAGAAACAAAACGATCAAGCATTGATGCTAATGTTATTCGCTCTCTGTGGCCATCTAACTTGGTGGAGTTCATGGTTGTAGATGCGATTGGCACTGCGGGAGGAATTCTATGCATTTGGAACCCGGAGGTTTTCCCCCTAAAAGGGTGTTGCTGCTATACGAGCTTTATCCTATTAGAAGGTACTATCCACTCTAATCTTAACTGTGTTGTTGGTAACATTTATGCACCTAATGATGATGAGAATAGGAGAAAGTTGTGGACCACTTTAGTCCAATTAAAGTCTGTCTTCCCTGATCCATGGTGCCTTGGGGGGGATTTCAATGAAGTCAAAACTATCAGTGAAAGAAAAGGGTGTATCAGGAGGGACAGAGGCATGGGAGAGTTCGGCAACTTCATTAGCTCACTTGAACTGGTGGATATTTCCATGTTGGGTAGGAGGTATACCTGGGGAAATTCTCAAAGTTGGAGTAGGATTGATCGGTTCCTAGTGAATCCTGAGTGGTTGGAGTGGTACAAATATAAAGTTTGGGGGTTACCTAGACTCTTCTCGGATCATAGCCCTATTCTGTTGATGGAGGATGGTAGGGATTGGGGGCCAAAACCCTTTAAGTTTATAAATGCTTGGGTCCTGCACCATAATTTTTTAGAGGAAGTGAGAAGAGTTTGGGATTCAACATTGGTTCAAGGTTGGGCAGGCTATGTAATCATGGAGAAGCTGAGAGCTCTGAAAGCGGCCTTAAAACAATGGAATCTGTCAGTGTTTGGAGATGTAGATTCTAAGTTGAAAGAAGCTGAAGCTGAACTACACTCTCTGGATTTGCAATCTGAACTTAGGGACCTGGATGAGGTGGAAAAGGGTAGAAGAAAGGAGGTAAGGGGTGAGGTTTGGAAGCTTAGAAAAAGGAAACCCAACAGAGCCATTACCTTGATATTAGCTATGGACCATGTTGTATAAAAGGTGGCTCAATCAAAGAAAGAAAATCTAAAAACTTTCAAATATGTTCAACTTCAAGTCACCAAAAACTTGAAGGTGACCGAAACACCCGATTTTTTCATATTATGGCCACGAAGAGATATAATAGAAACTTGATTGATTCTATAGAGGTTAACGGGGTGGAGGTTGAAGAACCAAGTATGATTAAACAAGCAGTGTACCATCATTTCCAGAATTTATTTACTGAACATTGGAGATATAGGCCAAGAATTGGTGGAGAATTCAAGAAAATTGAAACTAATCAGGTAGCTGGCATTTTGGAGAGAGAGTTCTCGGTAGAAGAAGTATGGGCTGCCATCAAAGAATGCGATGGCAACAAAGCCCCGGGCCCGGACGGGTTTAATATGCTCTTTTTACAAAAAAGCTGGAAATTCTTACAAGAAGACATCATGAAAATTCATGAAGGAGTTCCACAGTAACAGTAAATTGGGTAATGGGGTAAATTGCTCCTTTGTCACTCTTATTCATAAGATGGAAAACCCTAAGTCTCTTACTGACTATCGCCCTATTAGCTTGATTAATTCTCCCTACAAAGTGCTGGCTATAGTGTTGGCCAATAGAATCAAGCAAGTTCTGCCTAGTGTGATTGACACGGTTCAGTCTGCGTTTGTGGGGGGAAGGAATATTTTGGATGGAGTGCTTATAGTAAATGAGGTGGTGGATTGGTGGAAAAAATCAAAGAAGAAGGGTCTCATTCTTAAATTAGACTTTCAGAAAGCATATGATACGGTCAACTGGAATTGCTTGTTTCAAATGTTATCTAGCTTTGGGTTTGGTTCTAGATGGATTCGTTGGATGGAAGAATATGTAGGATCGGCTCGCATTTCTGTCTTGGTAAATGGATCACCATCTGCTGAATTCTGCCCCCAAAAAGGGCTTAGGCAAGGTGATCCTCTTTCACCTTTTTTATTCAATATTGTCGCTAAGGGGCTGAATATTTTGCTATCAAGAGCAAAGGAATTAAGGATTATCAAAGGTGTGGTAGTGGGTGGGAGAGGGGTTAATATATCTCATCTACAGTTTGCCAATGACACTATCATTTTTTGCGAGACTGATTGGGCTGAGATTGTGGCTGTAAAACGCATCTTGAGATGTTTTGAAGTGGTCTCGGGGTTGAAGATAAACTTTCATAAAAGCCTGATTTGTGGTGTGGGAGTTGAAGTTGGATTGGTGGAACAATTTGCAGCTCAACTGAATTGCCTTAGTCAGAAACTTCCTATAAAGTATCTTGGATTGCCACTTGGCTCCAACCCAGGTAGGAAGCAAGTTTGGCAACCTGTGGTGGAAAGGATCAAAAAGAAACTATCTGGTTGGAAGCGCAGGTTTCTTTCTTATGCCGGGAGAGTTACTCTTATCAAGTCTGTCTTATCCTCCTTACCTATATTCTATATGTCTTTATTTAAGATCCCGGTGTGTGTGGCTAAAGAAATTGATAAGATTCAAGCTAGGTTTTTGTGGGGTGGAGATGGCTCTCATAGGAAAATTCATCTGGTAAGCTGGAAGGAGGTGCAGCTGCCTAGGAATCAAGGAGGCCTTGGAATCCGTAACCTCTTATTGACTAATGAATGTTTGCTTCTAAAGTGGTGGTGGAGATATGCTCTGGAAGACGAGGCCATGTGAAAATTAGTGATCTGTGCCAAATATGGTGTATCCGGAGGTGGCTGGTATCCTTCATTGAATGGAGTTGGATCTGCTTCTCTTATCTGGAGAGACATTCTGGCGTTGGTACATACTAATCCTAGGCTATATAATTTTTTTGTTGAGAATGTGGAGCTTAAGATTGGTGATGGAAATAGGGTGAAATTCTGGGATGATATCTGGAAGGGATCTCTAAGCCTTAAATCCCAATTCCCTAGGTTGTATCAACTGTCTGTAGACAAAGAGATCACTGTGAAGTTGCAGTTTGCTTGTCGGGAGAGCAGTAACAATTGGTGCTCTAACTTTCGAAGACCCCTCCTTGGCTGGGAGGCGGATGAGGTGATTCGGTTGCAAAATATGCTGGGATCGGGGCCTTGCCTGCACAATGGTCAGAAGGACTCCATTAGTTGGAAGGCTCACCAATCAGGAGTGTTTAAAGTTGGAGATGCCTACGATTGGTATGTGCAAAGTCTTGGCCGTGTGCATAGTGTAACAGATTTAGTGTGGAAGAACTTTGCACCTCCAAAGGCCCAATTCATTACTTGGCTTGCTTGGAAGGGTAGGCTGAAAACCTCTTCATTTCTTAGCAAAATAGGAGTCTTAACAGGGTTTGAATGTGTGCTGTGTAAAGCTGAGGAGGAAACTGCTAGCCATCTCCTTCTGTTCTGTCCCTTTTCGTGGAATGTTTGGTCTAAAATCATGGTCTGGTGGGGAATTCAGTGGGTAATTCCAGGCTCCGTTGATGACCTGATGCATTGGTGGTTGGGGTGGAAATCTAGGAAAAAGGCAAAGCAAGTCTGGAGAGCTATCTTCATCTCTGTCATTTGGTCTCTGTGGAGATATAGAAATGACTGCACGTTTAACAACACCCAACTTGATATTGATGAGTTGTGTGAGGTAATAAAAGTAAGAGTGGCCATATGGGTAAAGTACTGTGGGATGGGATGTGCATACTCTATTCATGAGATTATTGCAAATATCAAATGGGTGAGCCAACATATTTAAGGGTGATAGTTTGTATAGCATTGGCTTGCTGTTGGGGGAGTTGCTGCTGTCTGCTGGGGAGTTATCTGCTGTCTGCTGCTGTCTGCTGGTTGCTGTTGGCTCACCCATTTGCTGCTGTCTGCTGTTGAGGGTGGTGTGTTTGCTGCTGTCTGATGGGGGTTTGGGTGTATCTAGCTACTGTTGGAGTATTTGGCTCAAGTCTGTTTTGGGTATTGGTTGTCTCTCTGCTGGCCAAGGTTTGAGTTGGTCTGCCAAGGATTGAGTGGCCTGTGGTATTCCTGTTACTGCTCTGGAGCGTCATGCTGTTGTGTGGTCATTATGGTGCACATGCTCATTCTCACATTTCTGCTGATATTTATTGGATGTCTGGTGGACCCCCCATCTGCTCTGCAGAATCTGTTTTGATCTGTTATGCTTGGTTCTCATGGTTGGGTAGTAGTAGTTTCAGTAGGCTATGTTTAGTTTTGCAGAAGGCTGTGTTTAGTTCTTGGTTTTGTTTGCCCTGTATGTTTGGTTTCTCACCAAACATTCATTAAGCTTTTTGTTGTTTGTTCCCCTACTTTGTTTGTTCCTTCAATTAATAAAACTTTCTTTGCTTATCAAAAAAAAAAAAAGTTAATTAAAATTATAAAAACCAAAATAATATATGGATGAAAATACAAAAACCACCAGTATTTTGTCCTAATGTTTATGTTACAATCCTATTGAAGCTCCTAGCCTAGGAGCTGAAAATGCTTTCTTGTCAGTTGTGATTTTCGAATTTGAATCTCAGTGCTAGGTGATGCAACTAACCCTTCTCTATGTTAGAAATATTTTAAAATAGTACATTATATAACATGTTTTGAGCTTTTCAAAATAGTTTGATTTATTTATTAATGGGCTTATATTAATGGTCTTATAATTTGAAATTTGTGTCACTTTAATTTTTAATATTTTAATTGTGATATATTGGATTTTAAATTTTGAATATCATTCTAAATAAGAACAATTGAAAATACTGTTACTCCATTTTAAAAGTAAAGTCGTCAATTTAATTGTTTGGCATGTTGGTTTTAGGGATGAAAAGGCTAAAATAGCCACAAAAAAGATAAAAATAGGCTAAAAAATTAAAAGATAAAATATTACATCCAAAACATAATCATTTTATTTTTTTTCCACAAAAGTCAAAAAAATCAAAAAATTCAATCCAAACAAGGCTTTGTAGCCTCAAGTTAAGTCAAAAATATCAACTCACGTATCAAACGAAGCCAAAATATAAACTAGTTCGACAACAATAAAAGTGAAAAAATTATTTTTGAATTTTTAACAATTATTTCTGTCACCAAAGATAAAATTATGTAAAAATAATAAATTTTTTACATTTTTATTTTTATTTTTTTACCAAATTAAGTTTTAGCATGTGTTTGGATGATAATCATGTAATGGATAGTTGTTTTTGTTGAATTTTTTTTTTTGTTATTGTTATCATATAATAGATGATTATATTCGTTGTTAAATGATATTTTTAGATGGTTATCATGCAATGGATGGTTATTAGACTTTTAATATAGAATTGATATGTTTAATATATGAAATGTTTTTAGTTTTAAATTTTTTTGATTTAATGGATTGGTTTAATAATGACATTAAAGTTGCCGTAATGTTTGACTTTTGAAAAAATAGAAATTAGTTTAACGAAAATAAATATACAAAAAATTATTTTAAAAAATTATTTCTATCCTTCTCAAAAGATAAAATTATATAAAACTAATGTATTTTTAATTTTTTTTCACCAATTTAATTTTCAGTTTCTTAGAAAATTTTTATGAAAATAGATTATGAAAATCAAATCAAATAGAACTTTATAACCAAGAAAGTTCCAACATTATTCATTAAAAAAAAAAAAATCATTACATTTCAAACAAGATACAAGTTAACTAATACAAAATAAGAAATAAGTTATGTAAACTTGAAATGAATCGTTTACAAAAGAAATATTTTTTATTGTCCTTATTTAAAATAAAATTGAAAATTCAAGATTAATTTATTATAATTAACAAGTCAGAAATCGAAATGACACAAATTCCAAATTACATAAACGGTTACCATAATTCGTCTTTATTAATTTACCTTATTTTATGTGCCCCACACAAAAAGTAAAAAGCAAATTGAGAAAACGTAACTCAGGGAATTGGGTGCCATTGATGGGGGCTCATTTCATGTCTCTTTCTTCTTTTTCGACTTCATTTTATTTGTACAAACATAGCCAAGAAAGACATTAAACTTGGACTTCATTGCATCCCCAAGTCAATTCAATGATCAACCTCCTATTTATCTGG